TATCCATTTAAGGACAAGGATGTTATATGGGGCTCATTTGCATGAGAAAATGTCAGTTGTACCTCGGTTTTTCCAAAAAAAAAACCGTTGTTTGAATGAATAAATTATACCTTTTATTAACCTTAAATTGTTGAATAAATTACCCAAATTAATTAATTCCTTCTGCAGAATTAACATTTGGCAGCATGAAACCAGCAGTAAATATGTATTTAATTAGAGAGTTTTAATAAAATGGAAAAAGTGTTCAACTGTCCTGAACGTTTCTTTGCTAATCCAGATTTCAATATTATATTCAAGATTCTTTCTTGCTTTTTTTTAGCTTAACTTTTGATTTAGCTTTAGTTCGTGTTGATTTATATTTTATGAAATTACAAAATCACTCAAAAAGTATACTTGATTGCAAACTACTTTACGAAGAGGCTTTTTTAACAACACAGACGGTATTCTGTAACTATAAAATAAATCAAAATAAAAACAAAATGGTCAGCAACGTCCCAAATTAAAAAAGAAAGAAAGTTTCCACATATACAGGGTGTCCCGAAATTGTTGGTCAACAATGATACCGTTTATTAACTGTTCGTGAAATTTTTGTAGCCAAAGTAACTCAAAGATATTCGTCTTTTTGAATTGGAAATTTATCCAAAATCTTGTTATTGTACAAGTAAGGTAAAAATTAACTGTTGTAATGAGTACAAATTTAACGGTGTTCCCAACTTTGGGGATATGATCAAGCAGTTAGATATATCCATTTTTTGCTTCAGAAAAGGTATACCTTATTTTTCGCGATATCTTTTACGGCTTTTGACATAAAAAAAACTTTTTGTAGTGATAAAACTAAGATAAAACTATTAAAAGTAACAATCAATTATGCCCACCAGTGCATTTTGAACATTTACCTTAGGTATTTACCCAGGTTTTTTCACATATGTATGTATTACTTTTAATAGTAGGTATTAGTTTTATCACTACAAACTATAAAAAGTGATTTATCTCAAAAGCCGTAAAAGATATAGCGAAAAACAAGACATACCTTTTCTGAAGGAAAAAATGGATATATCTAACTGCTTGATCATATCCCCAAATTTTCTACTATTCTATTAGCCCTATTATTGTTGACCAACAGATGCAGGACACCCTGTATATCAGTGCTTGAGAACTATTAAGGCTTGGCAAACTTCAGCAATCTTAAATAGTCGATTATATAAAATTAAAAATAATTGCATACAGATAAAATATGAAAAATAACTAAATAGTTATAATGTGGCTAAAAAAAAATTTAAAACAAAATCTCAACTCAAAATCTCAACTCAAATTTTGAATACATTTTGAAGATACTTTCGTGTTATCAATATAATTATAAAATCGTCATCATTAACGTCCCTTTTAATACAAAATAGCTACTGTAATAATAAAAACACTGGGAATGCGGAATAAAATAATGCTATAGTAGAAAATTAATTCTAAAAAATCCGCAACTGCTAATCAAATTCAATAAAAATAAAACCGAATCTAAAATTGACGAAACTCGCAACACAACTTTTACTAACGACAAAGTTTTCCTGTACGTGCGACAGGCAACCTATTTCTTAAATGCTGTATCAAAATTAACTTAATTTGGCCTTTTTATTTTTACTTTCCAAATCTCACGCAACTTTTAGAAAGTATGCGTGATTCAAAATAATTCTAATACCTGAACTATATGCATAAATAATGTACCCAAAAAGGAAAAAAAACTTAGCAACCTATAAAGAAGTGAAATGTTTTAGCTCAATGGGAAATTCTCAGAGAAGCACAACTAAATTTTGAAACAAAATACGAATTTGTAAAAACATCTATTATCCTGCCCTTAAGTTGTCTATTGCGCGACAATATGTCCTCTTTTTCATGAGTATAGATTTTCCAATTCTCATGCGACAACAAAAAAAATGAGTACAGATAGCACACCAAGAAGAACGAATTTGTATTACTAAAAAATAACTAATAGGCCCATGCAAAGTCCTTCCGAAATTTTGAAGTAGTTGCAAGTTCAACTCAATTCATGAGGGTTAAGAGATGCCACCGATTTTGAGAAAAACTTGTCTAAATACTCAAGCCATTACTTAAAAAAATTAAAAAAACACACAAGTCAAATTTCAAATGTAAAACTTAAATTTGTAAAAGTTAATTTCGACTTTATGAATGTTCAGTTTCGACGAGAATAACCGCAATATCAGAATATCAAATTGGCATAATTTACGTTATTTTCAAGTCAAGGGAAAAGAATGATATTTAGAACGGCTGAAAATCGAACGTTAGACTTTAATGTCAATAGCATACATTAGAGCAACCGAGAAATTAGTTCGATTAATAAACGTTTTATAGTTTACAGGGTGATTGCGTCATAATTGGGTTAATATGGTAAAGCTTTACTGTTCACTGATTTTGAATAATGTAGATAACACTACGACAGGTAATATAACAAGAATAACAATCATTTTAGTTGAGATAATTATTTTAAGATCAGTATGGGGCAAAACTAACGAAATTTCTGACTAAATGTATTGCACAGTGAGTGTGCCACGGTTACGTCGCCGATAAGCAATGAAACACAATCCTGCAATAGTGAAATATTAAAAGCTCTTAACATAGTGATATTTCCTAATTAAACTAGTGATTGCACAAAAAGTGAATTGTCCTCGTCTTTAGGAACCTTAGCGAATCAATTTAAGCAATAATTAAAAAGCCAACAAATTGTTTAAATATTCTGAATGCGAATGAGGTAAATAAACAATTCGTTAAGAGAGGTTCTTTTAGATTTAAGCAATCAAAAGTTAACTGGTGATTTAAAAAAATATATTGGAAAACTACTGAAAAACCAAACTGCCACTTTCCTATGTGCATATCACTTAACAACTGTGAGAATATTTAATAAATGTGAAATCCTAATCAATCATTCACCAACCTTGAACCACGCGAGATTGGTTAATGTTTCTTGCCGTAATCATACAATTACATTTGAAATTGTACGATAGTGAAGAAAACAATCAAATCTCGCTAATTGCCCTAATCATATTGGCTGTTGACCCATACCAAAAAAAAACCAGACGCAAAAAAATCCCGACAAATGCCGGAATCTAGCAACCGAAACAGTCGGTTGAAATAATTGTTTCAGATGATTACATTGGAAACATACCGAATTATCAATTGGCAAAGGTGAAGAAACTAAAAATTCTAACATGATAGGTTATTGGCACAATGATTCGACTACTAATTGTGGCATGTTCCGAATATTTTTCCAAGGATAAAATGTTGTTGGACTTTTCAACGAACAATGAACCCGCCATGGTTCACCCTGTACGGTGCCGAAAGAGAAACCCATTAAAACCACATGATAGTAATATTTGCGCCCTCACACTAGGGACCAAATTTTAAATGGCAAATATTGATTTTAATTAATGGGTCTGCCCACTTGGCTTACTTTTCAAGTTTGTGACAAACAGATGGCCAGCAGCTAGAGGCGGATGTAGCAAAATTAGGGCTCGAACGAATGTTGAAATGAGTAAACTGCTGGCAAAAGTTAAGAGACTAAGATTTAAAAATCAAAGACGCTTAAAAGTGCACTAACTCACGTCATCGAGAAAGGTATCCAATCTTTTGATAGTTTCGAACGAAACGTTCTAAAACCTAATGGAAAATATCTTCCAGCTTGATTGGATGGATTGGAAGTGACTAAAATTTATCCAATTCCTACTCAGATTAATAAATGAAGGACTATTGACATCAGCTAAAATTAGATATTGGCTAAGTGGCAAAAGTACCTAAATGGCTAGAACAAAAGAAGCTCCATTAATCGCTTCTAAAAGTGAGGGCTATTAAAAATGAAACGCGCTGAACCTCCCTGAAAGGGAAGGGAAAAATTGGGGTGGACCGTTATGGATTAGACCAGCCATTGATTAAAAATAATTGCACGGTGTGCTAAAAAAGATAGTCCAAAGCATTCATATAGAGCAATTGAGGCGAAATCAATCGGAGCGGTTTTGCCTCAGTCAAATGATTCAGAATTTTTCTTGGTGATGGTTTAATTTTATCGACATTATTTACAGCAAAAATGTATTTAACTATTGTTATTACATGTTTAGCATTAGACCATTGACATACTTGATTCACTGTACTTTAAGTGTAGTTACAGTACGTCAAGTATAGAAGATCTGCTGTATCCAACAATGTAATGAGAAAAACCTGTGTTTTTATGCGGAGAAAACCCATAAAACCGATATAAATGTAAAAAACGACAACCACAAGCTGGTACAAGACGTTTCTAGAAACACATTTGAATCAATGAAGCCTTTTGGAAAAAAAAATTTTTCAAGAAATAATTAAACCACTTTTCCAAAGTATCTGATTTTGCAAGTAATATCGCTGGTATGCAAAAAAGCATTCTCCAAGTGATACGACACAGTAGGTGCGGTCATTCGCAAACGTAAGATCATTCAATAAAACGCCATGGGCGATTAATGGAAACCGATAGTAAAATGCATTGATGCCAATGTGTTAGAAGATCAGGTTACATCAATAGGAAAACTAGGCGGTGGCATGATCTCATCCAAGAGATTCAGAATCTTCAAATTTGCTGCAACACCAGGTACAAAAGTGACCATACTACAGTAACCCTGAATTGGTCGTTACCACTTGCAATTTGACCTTTGCGCGGTTTAAAATTGCCGGACCACCGCCAAGAAAAGTTGCTGAACAACTTTTCTGAACTGCCTGCCAGCTTGATTTGATGTCTATTAACTTCGCTGTGCCTTCTTGCAAGTCATTAGTATCATGAAATTGACGAGATCGGTAAAGTTAAAATGTTGCCACTTCCATTTTCAGTTTAAAATGTCGCCCAAAACAGGTGTCCTGTAATCATTTTATTCAGAACAAACCCTGAGTGCCATAAATAATGTTTGGGGAGTTTAAGATATTAAGGGGTAAAGAGAGTTAAGTTTAATTAGAAATAAAACATAAAAACTTACCAGTAACTACCTGAGCAGGTCTCGGTGAAATCGATTAATCAAACTGAAAATGAAAAAAAAAAACAATTAAATCAAAATTAAAAATCAAAACATAGATATAATAACGATTACTATAAAGTTTTCAAATACACAATTTACAATGTGTATTGTAAAAAAACGTCCAAGCATATTATTACTTAAATGTTTCCTTAAATAATATTTTTGAAAAATAACTTCCCATCTTTTGCAGTAGAAACCACGAATTTATAAAGAGAAAAAATAATCAAACTAACAGAATCAATGAATATAAATGAAGGCATCACCAAGTACACACTCAATAAACTGTCTTCAACCACTACGAATAATTTGGTTGTTTTTGCAGGCCTGACACAATATATTCGAACACATGCTTTGATTGGAACAAAATAAACTTAAAATAGCGTCAACATTACAGAATTAGTAGATAAGAAACTGGAATAAATTTTACCAAATATCAATTATTCATCTGCATCTTTACAAAGATGTTTAATCAAATTTTCGATAGATAACAACATCGCAATCTAAAATCATCGAATATATCGACCCATCAAGGTTTGTCTAATCGCACATTCGCCCAATTTTTATCTATATTCCTGATTTGCCCGAATTAAGAAAAATGCCCTAAACTTCCGCCATTCCTTCAATGAAAATCCATTGAAGACACCCAGTATAGAAGTCAAAGTTAACTTATTCTACAACAGTCAATAAACATTCAATAACCGTCATCGCCTTAATAAACCGATTATTACAAGGAATGCAAACAATCAAACACAAACAGAAAAACCAAAATAGTGACGCAACTCAACCATAAAAACATGGCATGTGAACATATGACGGTCTTAGGCGATTAGTAATTAATATTTTCCTACTGATGTTTCCTCCTCTAGCACATACGGAAGTGCGCGAAACGATTCAGGGACAAACTTCCTTTCTAAACTCGAAAAAAAAACCTTAGAAAAAAGTGGTATAGGTCACAAACAATAATTAATTTAACAGTCAAAACAAAGCCGATAGTCGTTGGTTCCAAGAAGGTACAAATTAAAAACACTGGCAAAAAATTAGGTATAATGCCAACGTTAAATTTTATTTTATTTAATTGCTTAATCGCAAACCTAAACTTACATTCTGAAAGATGAATTTTCTGAATTCGAATATCAGTTCAACGCATACACTTTATGAGCCTGTATACGAAATATGAATGCGAAATATACAAACGGAGAAGAAAAATAAGAAACGCCTTACAATAATCGCCTCCACCCAAATGTCTTCGGGGTAACGTCTGAAATACTACATAATAAAGTACAATGTTTTTGGGCAGCTAATATTTGTTACACAAAACCCGAAGAAATAAATACTGCACGGAAATAGAGCCGATTGCATGCGGAGTTATCCAAAAATTAATTCTGTTTCTTATTTAAGAGTTCATTATATTTTAAATGCAAATTCACTGCCTTCCAAATAAACAAGCACATTCGCCATTCTAACCACTCCTTCGCCATTCTAACCACTCTTTCACCATTACATTTAAATATAAAAATACACATTTGCAACACATTTTTCTAATCAAAAAGGGACATTTTCACTTTAAGTCTACTAATTTACAAAAAAAAATTGCAGCACGATTGAAACAAAGCTTAGCAAAATGTATCACTTAATCCTGCATAGCTTAACGGATATCCATGCAACCTCAACTAACAGCGCGTTCGCCATAACAATAAAATAATTTATCTGTATTACAATAATGGTATAAATTGCAAACATTTAGAAATCTAACGCTTTACAGCCTAAAGCACCAGTTTTCAAACTTTTTTGGTGACGGAACCCTTTTACAGAACTAAATTTTTAACGGAGCCCTAAACCCTAACTAAACTAAAAGTAAAACGTGTTATATGTGTATTGTTTATTAATAAGCAAACAAAAAAAGGTTTTTGGAATTAAATGCTAATTATAGCTTTTCCAAAATGGCTACGCTTCCGAAAATCAACGATATCTTAGCTTTTTTTAATGGAAAGTCCTTATTTTGATTTCATATTTGTATTCAGCATTAAATGAATTGAATTTAAAACGTGCATTAGTCAACACGTATCTGTCATAATTTTGACATGTCACATTTATTGAAAAAAAAACTGGGATGCACAGGTTTATTTGAAAAAATCATAGCTCCAAAACCATTCCTATTTTTTATTCAATTTTCAAAGGTTTGGCCGACATTTTGCATTGATTCTGACACTTTCGTTATTCGTGCGTCTGTTGCGGTGTTTCAAAGTTAACAATCAAAAAATGCTTGCATTACGATTTCTGATAAAAAATTGAAATTTACAGATTACTTCTATAGCCGACCACTTGATAAGAAAACAGTAATATTTCTTCCAAGAAATGCCAATAACTCATAAACGACTTTAGATGAACGTACACAATGTTAATGAAAGTGGACTTAACATTCAATTATACATTTATTTTTGAAACTCCAAAATTAAAATCAAATCCTGGGTTCTTCAGTCATTTATTTATTGTTCATTTATCAATTTAAGAAAACGTTTCGGTGTTTTCCACCATCATCAGTTTTAATGTGTAGCGTTGTTGCTACCCAGGAACCCAGGATTTGATTTTAATTTTGGAATTGAAACACAGTCAGGAAAGTACGTACAATTTATTTTTGGAGTCAGAAATAGTAGTTGCCATTTAAATATGTGAAGTTTTTGTCATTTTTTTATTGTCAACTTTGGAAATCATAGGACAAACACGAAACATAACAGAAGTGTCAGAATCGATGCAGAATGTCTGCCAAACCTTTGGGAATTGAATTAAATAATGCCGATTTATTTATTTGCAATAGTTCAGGAAATATAAATTTGTTAATAAACCTGTGCCACCCTGATTTTTGCAAAAAATGACAACTCAAAAACTGTGACAGATAAGTGTTGACAAATGGACATTCTGCACTCAATCAAAATGGGAACTTTCCACTTAAAAAACCGAAGATGGCGTCGATTTCCGGTAATTCAGGAAGTGCCGTCATTTTGAAAATACTATATTTATACGTGCACCAACCGATTATGGTGCCTACCAAATTTCATATCAATAAGATTTCGGAAAATAATTTTTTTTCTAACGAACGGGCTACGTGAATTTCCTTTCGGTAGTTTATTTTTATCTTAGGTAACTTTATTCTTATAGATTTCCCTTTCATAGATGTATTAATTTTATTGTCGGCGGAGCCCTACCGTAAGGCTTAGCGGATCACACTTCGAGTAACGCTGGTCTAAAGAATGAATTTACGTATTTAGGTAGTAGTTACTACACTTCAATTCATTATCAACAATGCACCCAGCATAGCTGCGAATTGCATCGAAATTAACATTATGATCATGTACATCATTGTTATTATTTGGATGCTCTGTCCTGAATAGCATGAACCGGAAACGGAAATTTATTTATCGGTGTATTAGTAATGATGCAGATTAATTTTTTCATAACAGCCAAACTTATTTTTTCACCTTCTAACTGCAATATATCCAAAATTGGCATGTATTAGTTGGATTGTGGATTATTTGCACTGAAAAGTTTGGCCACCAATTAGGTTTCTCCTGGCCTATTAGACGATAATTATTTAGTGTTGTCATTGCTGTTTTATTGTGATGGCTTACATTTCCTTGCTAGACAATTTCATTGAATTTGCAACAAAACATGTCAAACAAAGAGAATATTCCTGTTTGTTCGTACATTTTAATTAAAGTAAGTACTTTATACATTAATAGTCTAGGAAACTACACTTTCCTATTCACCAATTTTTAAGGCATAAGTTTAAGTAATCACATTTAATTCTAATACCAAAAAATTCGTTCTGAATAAATTTTGCGTCTAAAATTAATAGCGCTGTCTGTGGAATAGATTCTAATTATTATTTTAGTTCCCCACGCTCTTGAAGTTTTAAAACTAACTCCTGCGTCAATCATTAAGATTTAATAAGGTGTGTTATTGTTGATCATATAATTACATTTAAAAATACATAGCTCCTATCTTGTATTTAAACTGAGAAAACTATGTGGAAATAACACTCATATATTATATATTCACATTTCGCCCTATAAATAGCGCCTAAATTGATTCGTATTCCTAATATTTTTATTCAATAGTTAATAAACAAATATGTTTGATAAATAATTAATGTCCAATAGACCGCTCTATTGATAGATGGACAATATTGAGCCGAAAAGTAAAATCCTGCTAATTTTTCTGAGAACTAAACCGCTTATTTCATGCATTAATTTTGTGTACAGTGAGTCAAAACAAATTGAAGTGCTCTAATTTTAAATTGTATTTGTTGACGTTTGCTTAACATTATTTCGACTGTATGCAACACTTGATATTTAATTGATATATAAAAATATCCACCTAAACCAACCGTTTTAAACCTATTTTTTTAAATTAAATGTTGTTTTAGTTGAAAGCGACAAAACCGGCAAACAGACAAATAAATAAAAAAAGCATACGAAACGAAATAGGAGAAATGGAAACACTGCACTTTATTACAAACGTTAAGAACTAAAGGTAAAAATATTCGATTTTAAGTAAAAATAAATAATTACTTCCACAATCGTATACGCCGTGCAAACGTTTATTGAAATTTCATGAAATTGTGTACATTTCGCTATTACGCAAGCAAGTTAATGATACTGATACCATACAGTTTATAGCATAAACCGTCAGTTAATATGAACCTTGTATTCACCCAATGCAATATATATTTATAGGTATGTTAGTTTAAAGTATACAAAATTAAAATCGATTCGCTGCAAACTCAAGAAAAAGGATAAAATGAACAACTAAGCTAGTCGTAATTATATGTTGAAAGCTAAAATTTAGAATCACATGCAGATGGCACAGTGTGAAAGCCTTAATCACCCCTTGGTTATTACGGTTTCGAGTTGAGAATTAACAATGAGCGATTAGAAAACAGCATGATACTCCGGAAGTTAGGAAAACAACACCACTGAAAATATATTGCAGCAAACATTTGAAACC